GCATTCAGGGAATCTACCCCACAGTAATGGATTTTTTTTTTTCAAAATTAAGATGTGAATTTAGCTTGTGATCAAAGGGTGTTTCAGAGTCATTGATGTGTATTTCAGAAGAGGAGCATGGTGCATATCAGCAGTAGACACTGGTCTCTATTTTATTACATTTTACAGCAGGGAAAAGTAGACAAAGGTAATTACTCTTCTTCTGTTAAAGACTATTATTACACTTGCATGAACAGTTAACCCTGCTGTTATTTTCTCTGCTGCCTGTGCCGCTGCCATCCCGACCATCCAAGCAGGAAAGGTATAGAAATGGGGGTCTCAGCTCATTTCCAAGTGCACAGTAAGTCCACTTTGAAAGGTAATCTTCCAGCCCATAAATGTGTGCACCGACACACCAGCACGTTCCACTATGTGGTGACGGGATGTGTGCCCAGGTCTTCGGCATGCGCTTTGAATGCTGGCTCCCTTTTTTAATGCTTCCTCACGTAATTGGGCTCCCAGAGCTGCCAGCAGCAGTCAGGGACAGAAGGAGACCTCCCTCAGTTAACATGGAAAGGGAATTTTCTTGCTCTCCTCCAGAACAGAGATTCTTTCTAGGTCAAGGTGGATGCTCTCCGCAGTGTGAGGAGAGCGAGACTGCGTAGGAGATGACTTAACCTGTGATCCCGGAAAGCTCTGTTGAAGGGCTGTCAGGCCCTCAAATATCATGAGCAGCAAATTTCTCCCCTTAGCTACACAGGAGGACAAGCAGAAAATTGATTTCTGAACTCTGCCTTTGCGATACACGCTCAAAATCAGAACTTTAGGGTACTGTATTCCCCCAGTCAAAATCTGGGGCTGAGAAAATCTCTGCATGTTCTAGAAACAGCGTTGTAAAATTTGAGGTCCCCTTTTGAGAAAGTCCTAGCTCTCATCTTTGGATTCCTTGGTGGGGGGGAGGTTAAAAGAGTCTCATTTGGCCATTATTTACAATAACTTTCACCTGAGGTTCCCAACCCCTTGGTAGGCAAGAATTATTATCTGTCTCATGACAGGGCAGAAGCTGGAACACACAACTGTCATGTCCCGTTTCCCTGATGTCATCCCCTGGCTCATAGTTCAAGGGATATTTGACAATCAGCTTAGTTGTTTTGTTTTGCTTTGATGCCTTTTGAGCCAATCTCCAATATCAGAGTGAGTAGAACATGAACGATGTTAAGGGTTCCAAGCATCACATGAAACAGTGAAAATGCTGAATTTAATTTTTATTTATTTATTTATTTTTGACAGGCAGAGTGGACAGTGAGAGAGAGAAACAAAGAGAAAGGTCTTCCTTTGCCGTTGGTTCACCCTCCAATGGCCACCGCGGCTGGCGCACCACGCTGATCCGATGGCAGGATCCAGGTGCTTATCCTGGTCTCCCATGGGGTGCAGGGCCCAAGCACTTGGGCCATCCTCCACTGCACTCCCGGGCCACAGCAGAGAGCTGGCCTGGAAGAGGGGCAACTGGGACAGAATCCGGCGCCCCGACCGGGACTAGAACCCGGTGTGCCGGCGCCGCAAGGCGGAGGATTAACCTAGTGAGCTGCGGCGCCGGCGAAAATGCTGAATTTAAAAGGAGGCCTGGAGTGTGTGTGTGTGTGTGTGTGTGTGTGTGTGTGTCTGTATTGACACCAGGAACCTGGAAGAAGCAACCATAGACTGCGCTCCCTGCATGTTGACCATCTATCAAAGAAAGAGATAGTGTTTCATTGCTATTGCTTATTTCTAATAAAAAGTAAATTAATAGAAACAAAACACTCATATGAGGTGATTTAGTAAAATGTCCCAAGTGCATGTGTGCTCATTAATGAACTTGAAAACAGGCCAGACCGACGCCGCGGCTCACTAGGCTAATCCTCTGCCTGTGGCGCCGGCACCCCGGGTTCTAGTCCCAGTTGGGGCGCCCGTTCTGTCCTGGTTGCTCCTCTTCCAGTCCAGCTCTCTGCTGTGGCCCAGGAAGGCAGTGGAGGATGGCCCAAGGACTTCGGCCCTGCACCCGCATGGGAGTCCAGGAGGAAGCACCTGGCTCCTGGCTTCAGATCAGCGCAGCGCACCGGCCGTAGCAGCCATTTGGGGGGTGAACCATGGAAGGAAGACCTTTCTCTCTCTCTCTCTCTCTCTCTCTCTCTCACTAACTCTGCCTGTCAAAAAAAAAAAAAGAAAAGAAAAGAAAAGAAAAAATGGGCCAAATATTTTAAAAGAGGACAAATTTTAAAAAATAAGAGGGGTCAGCTCTGTGGCATAGTGGATGCAGTGCTGGCATCCCATATGGGTGCCAGTTAGAGTCCCGGCTGCTCCACTTCCGATCCACCTCTTTGCTATGGCCTGGGAGAGCAGTAGAAGATGGTTCAAACCCATGGGCCCCTGCACCCATGTGGGAGATCTAGAAGTAGTTCCTGGCTTTGGATCAGCCCAGCTCCAGCTGCTGTAGCCATCCTGGGAGTGAACCAGTCTTTGGAAGGCTGCCTCTGCCTCTGCCTCTCAGTAACTATGCCTTCAAATAAGAGAATCTTCAAAAGGAGTCAGTGTTGTGGTGCAAAGGGTTAAGCTGCTGCCTGGGTGCTGGCATCTCATTTAAGGCTGCCAGTTTGAGTCCTTGCTGCTCCATATTACATCCAGCTCCCTGCAAATGAACCTGGAAGACAACAGAAGATGGCCCAAGTACTTGGTCCCCTGCCATTCACAAGGGAGATACTGGTAGATGGCTCCTAGCTTCACCATGACCCATCCCTGGCTCTTGTAATCATTTGAGGAGTGACCCAGCAGATGAAAGATCTCTCTCTGTGTCACCCTGTCTTGCAAATAACTTAAAGAATTAGGAGACAAGACAAATACTAACATACTTGGAATGGAATCTTAGCACGTAGCTGAATACGCAGCTTGAAGAAATTGGAAGAAATGTGATTAGTATCTTCCTTCAAGATACTTTTTATCTGAAATGTCAAGTAGCTGAATCAGACCCATTCAACTAATACTCGTTAGTGATGTTATCCACATACAATTTGGGTAGAAAAACATAGAAGTAAGAAGTGTTCAAAATGAGAGTTGTGGTAGTGATTTAAAATTTTTTTTGACAGGCAGAGTTAGACAGAGAGAGACAGGTCTTCCTTCTGTTGGTTCACCCCCAAATGGCTGCTACAGCCGGCGCGCTGCGCCAATCCGAAGCCAGGAGCCAGGTGCTTCCTCCTGGTCTCCCATGCAGAAACAGGGCCCAAGGACTTGAGCCATCCTCCACTGTCTTCCTGGGCCACAGCAGAGAGCTGGTCTGGAAGAGGGGCAACCAGGACAGAACCGGTGCCCCAAATGGGACTAGAACCCGGGGTGCCGGCGCCACAGGCAGAGGATTAGCCAGTGAGCCGCAGCGCTGGTCTTAAATTTATTTTGTAATAATCATTCAACAACTATTTAATGTGTGACTAAGAGCTGTGTACAAAGTGCTATTAGATACTTAAATTCTTTCTTTGATATTGTCTGTCACAGGTACAGCTAAAGATAACAAATTTTCAGGTGCCTATTGACCAACGATAGGAAAGTCTGCCCTAATTTGCCACATGATGTAAGCTGCCTTTCAGTAGGGTCCATATTAATTTCTAAAGCTTTTCCTATACTATTTCAAGCTATTGTAGTCTTCTCTATTATCCACATAATGCTTCCTCTTTAAGATTCAAAATGAGTTGGATTTAGCTTTTATAACAACCAAATATACTAGAATTAGCTAACAGTTGTTAATTCTCCCATCTTTAACAGAAAAATGCTATTAAATAACTAAATCTTATTTTCACTTCAGAAAAGATATTTGTGAATACATCAATTGATACGATATTGATATACTGATGTTCTGCCCAAAATTCTTCATTTATGATAACAGATCAGAATGAACATCACTAGATGACACTAGTAACTACATTCACTTTAATGAACACAATAAAATTGATTTGGTCCACAAAATGTCTCTTACTTGCAAGAAAGAAAGCAATTTCAGCAGTTATGCTAGACAGAACAACACAGAAATATCAAAGTCAAGGCCATGGAATCCAGAGCTGGGCGAAGCTGGGATTCGAGCGTTGCCACTCACTAGCTCTGTGACCTTGGGCAACTTGCATACCTTCTCAATACTGAACCTGTAAAGTAGATATAAAACCTTTACCACAAAGAACTGTCTTGAGGAATAAATGTGTTAAGCACTCAATAAATGTTAGCCATGCTTATTAACATGTCAGATCATTTTAAATGAATACACACAGAAGAGTTTGCAATGATCTTTTGGTTAGAAGTGGCATAAGACACATGCCCATTACTTGATACATGAACATGGCTTTCCTAGGTCTATAAAGCTCTCTTAAAATGTTACACTGTTGTTTCTTTTCACTGCTTGTTAGAGTCCAAATATTCTATTACTTTATCAGTTGCTTTGGATCAGGGAAAGCATATGATATCTGTCTTTTTGGGACTGGTTATTTCCCTAAGTATAATGGTTTTAGGTTGCATCCATCTTGTTGTAAAAGAAGATTTCATTTTTTAAATGTATACACAGCCAAGTAGTACCTAAAATGTAATGTATTGGAATGAAATGGACATTTTGAAATTCAATTATTATTCAGCCCTTAAGGCATTCAGATCTGGCTAAAAAGCCCATGAGAGTATTTCAGGCATGGAAAGCCAAGACACTGTGGGAAAAAAAAAAAAAAAAAAAAAAAAAAAAAAAAAAAAACACACAACAACAACAACAAAAAACAACAACAACCACCTAAATGAAAGATCTCTGTGAGTGAGATCCCAGTGGAAAGAACGGGCCATCAAAGAAGGAGTTACCTTTCTCTGAAGGGAGGAGAGAACTTCCACTTTGCTATGGGCTTATCTAAATAAGACTGGAGTTGGCAAACTCAAGAGGTTTCCATAGCCTTGGCAGCTTATGACAAGAGCTTCAGGTGATTACTGACGTCATAAACAAGAGTGTCAATTGTTAAATCAACAACAGGAGTCACTGTGCACTTACTCCCCATGTAGGATCTCTGTCCTTAATGTGTTGTACTATGCAAATTAACGGTAAGACTACTACTCAAACAGTACTTTATACTTTGTATCTGTGTGGGTGCAAACTGTTGAAATCTTTACTTAGTATATACTAAATTGATCTTCTGTATATAAAGATAATTGAAAATGAATCTTGATGTGAATGGGATGGGAGAGGGAGCAGGAGATGGGAGGGTTGCGGGTGGGAGGGAGGCTATGGGGGGGTGGGAAGCCACTATAATCCAAAAGCTGTACTTTGGAAATTTATATTTATTAAATAAAAGTTTAAAAAAAGGAAAAAAAAGAAATTCAATGATTATTTACAGCTCTTGTCTCTTCTGTTGAGGAACAGTGTGTTTTTCTTTATACTATTTGTTGAAATCTTTTACTTAGCGTAGGGTTAACTTGATAATCATTAAGTAAACTGAAAATGGATCTTTGTAAAAATTAAGAGAATGTGAGAGGGAGGAGGAAGGGTTGGAGCATGAGTGGGAGGGAGGTTGGGGTGGGAAGTGTCACTATGTTCCTAAATGTATATAAATGAAATACATAAAACTTGTATAACTTAAATAAAATTCTAAAAATTCTTAAAGACCAAATACCCACAACCTTCCCTATCAGAGATCCCCAAATCCCTCTTCACCCACAGAACATTGCCTGACTTGTACAAGTAATATGGTAAATCTCTTTCCTTTCAGTTTCAACAAGCTACTTCTACAACACAAACACTGAGCACACCAAATCTTGCAAGTCAATGTTTACATTACATTCTACGGCGTGTGTTTTGCAATGCTCACAGTTTAAAATGTAAGCTTCTTGCCAGGGCAGGAGTTTTGTCTACTTAATTTGCTTCCTAGGTTCATACCTGGCCCCCAGTTGGGTGTATTGGAATTTCTAGAGTACTTTGCACTGCCTATGACTCTGAAACCTGAAAAGTGAGCGCCAGGAGAAGACCAGAAAAGAATTTCAGCCTTCACTTGTCAAGTGACCCTGACAACAGCTCTAGGAGAATAGTCACCGAGTGGTGATCCTCTCCACTGTGTCTCCACACCACGGGGCCCTTTATAAAAGTGTTGCATGGGATGGGCGTTTGGCTTAGCAGCTAAACTGTTGGTTAGGTACATTCCTGTCCCATATTGGAGTGCCTGGGTTTGATAACGACCTCGGCTCTGACTCCAGCTTCTTGCTAATGCAAACCATGGGAGACAGCAGTGAGGGCTGAAGTAGTTGGGTCTCTGTCACCCATCTGGGATGCCGGGATTAAGTTCCTGGCTGCTCACTCCAGACTGGTCCAGCCCCAGCTGTTTTGGGCATTTGGGGAGTGACCTAATGAATGGAAGTATTTTGTTCTATCTCTTGCCCTCTGTCTCTCAGATGAATAGATAAAAATGTTAAAAGTTGCTGAGATAAAAGAACAGCAGGAGTTTTAAAGGGGAAGAGAAGACGTGTCAAGTCTGCCTGAGAGTCACGTGTGACACTGTTTCCCTGGGTGGGGAAATAACACCCAGCCTGAGTACTCTGCTTTTCCACACTCCTCGGCCAGTTTGGGCCACTTCATCATAATCAAATTACCTGTATTGCTATAGAAAGTTAAAAGGACTATTTGAAGCCCCAGAACCATGAAAGCCCCTCTTAAGCACAAAATGGTATCAACATCAAAGGTGGGCCGGCGCTGTGGCTCAATAGGCTAATCCTCTGCCTTGCGGCGCTGGCACACCGGGTTCTAGTCCCGGTCGGGGCGCCGGATTCTGTCCTGGTTGCCCCTCTTCCAGGCCAACTCTCTGCTTGTTCTGGGGTGTGACCTGGCCATCGCGATTTAAAGCTGCAGGTACACTTCAGAAGCACTGAACTGTATAGCAGATAAGCTGAGCACCAACCAACACAGGCAGTGAAGAGGTGCTCTCTAACCTAGGTCCTTTCATGCCTTGGCTGTGGAGCTGATTGGTGAATAGAATGAAACACTGGGCCCTGGGACTGGCCTGTTGTTTGCCGATTGGCTAAGGTACACACAAACTCAAGACTGATTCTCAAAGGGCTCGGTGACCTTCTTACACTCAGACCGTTCTCTGAGAGTACTCTCCTTACTCCTGCTCTGAAGGGAAGGCTAGCTAACGATGGCAATGGCGATCTTTCATCGAAGACTATAAGTAAAAATAAAACATGTTACAAGATACCGTTACTGTTTTAAATAGTTAAAAATAAGGGAGGAAGAGGTGCAACTTGTGGTGCAGTAGGTTAAGCCACCAGTTGGGATTCCTGCATCCCCGATCAGAGTGTCTTAGATCAAGTCTTGCCTGTACCTCTGCTTCCCCATTCAACTCCCTTCTAAAGCACCTGGGAGGCAGCAGGTAATGGTTCAACTACTTCAGTCTGTGCCACACATGAGACAGCCAGATGGAGTTCCTGGCTCCTGGTTTGGTTCCGATCCAGCTCCAGCTGTTGTAGGCATTTAGGTAATGAACTAATAGATGGAAGACATTCCTTCTCTTTCTCTTGACACGTGAATATAAATGTTTTGATGAGCCAGGAAAAGTTGTTGGTTAGGAAATAATTGTATAAGAGATCACTTCAGTAATGGATATTTTTGAGTAATGACAATTATTTCCTATGCTGCCTTAAATTTATTAAAATGTATTTATATGTCTTAGCTTTATAATTTGGATACTACTGTCCTTGTGTGTAAAATACAGTTCAGATTTTTTTAAAAAAAATACCTCATTTTATAATGAAACTTTAATAAAAAAGGAGAATGTATGGATACATCAATATGCTTTTTCTATGTCTCCTAATAAAGTAAAATTGCAAAGACTTTAACCAGTTAACAAGCATCTTGGGAGACTGCTGAGTCACACTCACCCCTCTGGTTTTCTAGGAGCTGCAGGCTCACCAAAGGAGAAGTAACAGAGAAAGAAAGTCAGTGGATAACAAAGACAAAGGAAGAAAAGGCAAAAATCTCAGGAGAAAGTTGAGGGTAAAGAAGAGGAAAGTGGGTCAACTCATTTTATGGGACATCCTCACCTCTGAAGAATCAGGGATACCTGAAAAAGTCATCTCCCAGGGAATGTGCTTAAATTTTTGAAAATTAAAGATCCAGTCAAATAAGCGCTACTTGATTAAATCAGATGCATTTAATTTAGTGACAATATATTTTATGATTCGACATAATACTACTTAGAATTAAGAGTGAATCAGGTGTTAATTTTTGTTAATTTTCCAACAAAGCTGTAAGACAATATAATATACTCATTTCACATTGATTTCTGAAGCCCAACACTATTACTTGGAAAAAATTTTTCATTAGTTTTCTCCAATCATCTCACTGAAGCCTTTGATGGTCATATTGTCTATTTTGTCATCCTCCACCTTCTTGATGTCCCTTCCCTAGTTAAATTTTACCAAGGGCTGGCACTGTGGGCTAACCCATCATCTACATTGACAAGATCCCATCTCTAAGTGCCAGTTCAAGTCCCAGTTACTCCACTTCCAATCCAGCTTCCTGCTGATGTGCTTGGAAAGGCAACTTATGATGGTCCAAGGACCTGGGGCCCTACCACCCATGTAAGAGACCGGCGTGGAGTTCCTGGATCCAGGCTTTGGCCTGACCTAGACCTAGCTGTTGCAGCAACTACAGATGGAAGATCTCTCCTCCCCACTCCCAAACTCTGCCTCCCCAGTCACTCTGCCTTTCAAAAAACAAAACCTCTGCCATATTCTTATATGTTGAATGATGGCTTATAAAGTGATTTATGCCATTCACCTTCATTCCTTTTATTGATTTCATAAAATTATACATCTTTGATATATATATATAATTTCTCCTTGTCAATTTGTACTACATTACATTCTATAGTTGATTTTCATAATATTTAAGTCAGTGAGACACTGACAACAATGTTGATGTGACAGGCTAATATAAATGCATTGAGGAACCAGGAAAAGTTGTTGGGTGGGGAACAATTGTATTGGTGGTTACTTCAGTAATGAATGTTTCTGAGTAATGACCATTTTTTCCTACACTGCCTTGTAACATTATTTAAAATTTTCACTTATGCCTTATAACTTTATAACTTGGACACAAATAATGAGAATGTCCTTGTGTATAAAAGACAGTTGAAGTTATCTTAAATGAGTTAACAGCAAAAAAATGAAGAGGTCATAAGTACTGTGAAAGTTTTATCACAAAACACAAAAATCTGCTGATATAAGAACTTCAATGCTTATTCTATTTCTTTTGCTGACATAAAGGCATGTGACCTACACATTATTTTCTATCATGTTAATTGAAACACTCTTCTAGGAAAGAAACAGCAAAGAGGGAAATACAATTCAATGTCCTGCTGTCAACTGAAATATCCTACTTTTTAAACTATGAAGTCTGCATAATTCAGTGTACCCGTCTGAATGAACAGGGTGATCAATGAAAACATTCTGAGCTTCCTGTATCAGGCTGACATGGGTTCTCTTCAATCAAGTAACATACTGAATGATGTAGAATAAATGCAAAAACACCAGACTAAGTAGCAGGGGTTAAACAGGATTTGGGAAAGGAAACTTACCTTATTAGTTTATTTTTTAGTTAAAAAATGTTTATCAGTAAACCCCCCAATTCAGAAGCAAAATGCCAAGATATTAATTATCAATCCTTCACCACTTATTAAAGTATCATTTTAATAAGAGGGACAGTAAACAATGAATATGAGAAAGAGAAGGACATTCCTGGCAATTTTTTTAACATCCCTCAACAATCCTGGCTTAAGTCTCCATTAAGCCAGGATTACAATATTCCTTTCCATCATGGAATTGTGAATGAACTTTGTAACCTCAAGAACCAGAAAAAAGTGGCAATATGGTCAATTTGTGTCATCACCCAATGCAGAGACCAGTCAACACTGTAGAAAAATCATCCTGGAAAGCTTAGTATGCCCAATTTAAAATAATAAGCCAAATGAACCATTGGACTAAGGAGCAGAAAGCACTATTTCTTGCTGCCAGTCTAAAGGGAACTGTTCTTGTTGTGCTAAGCAATTTGTCAGAAAAGACAGAGCACTCTAGTATTAATAGCACATTAACCAGACTTGTAGTTGGACACAAGGCAGAATTGGCCAGGGTGAAACTTGATTCTATTAGTAAAAGTGGTTAGCTGCTAACCAGATTGGCTAATGATACCCAGTAATCATTGAATTGAATGTATTCAGATGCCCTGGAGACCAAAATAGAATCAGAACTCCATTTTTCTGAAGCATTTTGTAAGTCATTAACTGGAAGTTATCTTTGCTTTAAATCAAATATTATATACACGCTCTAAAAGCATATCATATCAGTAATCTTCCTGATAAATCTTGGGGAAACTTTGCTTAAAGTAAAATAAGCAGACAGGATGCTGTTGAGTGCTTGGCAAGGCACAGGTTAGTACACACGTGTGAGGAGAGTAGTCAAGGCCAGGTAAAGAAGCGTCCAAATGAATACAGGAAACAGCTCCAGGCAGGACAAGAAAGAGTTTCTGGATCTAGCAGCAAGAAAATGTGAAGTTAATAGTGGATTTCATAGACAACTTGAAAGAGTTTTTCATCATTAGTGGGAAACAGATAGCTTTATTGTTTTGTTCCCACCTAACAAGTCTTAGTAGCAATACAGAGGTAGTGTTCCTCTCTTCAAAGGTGTTTTACCTAATTTCAAGAGTTACACTTGTGGGGCTGGCATTGTGGTACAGTGGGTAAAGCCATCACCTGCCCAGGTACTCCGCTTCCAATCCAGCTCCCTTGTAATGTGCCTGGGAAAGCAGAAGATGGCCCATGTGGTTGGGCCCATGCACCCACATGAGACCCAGAAGAAGCTCCTGGCTTCCATCTGGCCCAGCCCTGGCTGTTGTGGTCATTTGGGGGGTGATCTGGTGGATGTAAGGTGGATCTCTTTGTCTCTCCCTCTCTAATTCTGCCTTTCAAACAAATAAAATAAGTCTTTAAACAAAATCTTGCTAAAAAAAAATAAAACAACTCAAACTTCGAGTACTCAAGACAATGTGGGGGCCGGCACTGTGGCGCAGCAGGTTAGCTCCCTGGCCTGAAGCGCTGGCATCCCATATGGGCACCGGTTCTAGTCTCAGCTGCTCCTCTTCTGACCCAGCTCTCTGCTATGGCCTGGGAAAGCAGTGGAAGATGGCCCAAGTCCTTGGGCCCCTGTACCCGCATGGGAGACCCAGAAGAAGCTCCTGGCTCCTGACTTTGGAACGGCCCAGCTCCAGCCATTGTAGCCATCTGGGGAGTGAACCATCGGATGGAAGACCTCTCCCTCTCTCTGCCTCTCCTCTCTCTGTGTAATTCTGACTTTCAAATAAATCTTAAAAAAAAAAAAGAAAGAATATTGTAAAAAAAAAAGTGTGGTATCATCATCAAGAAAGACAAATAAATCGATGAAACAGAACAAAGCAAATCACAATAGACCCTGTTCCCAAATCTGTTTATATGAAATTTGTATACCTTAAGTAAAAATTTTAAAGATCTGTGCAAATAACTGATCATAGATAATATTATCAATAAATGATATTGGAATGATATGATAAACATCTTTTTAAAATGAAACTTGGGGACAGCCAACTTGGCATAGTGGTTAAAACACCAGGTGCACACCCACATGCCACATCACTATGCCTGGGATTAAGTCCTCATTCCACTTCTGATTCTCCACAGCAGTTAAGTTGCCCCTAGGGACATTTACATCCCATTTTGAGTGCCTGGTTCAAGTGCCAGCTACTCTACTTCCAATCAAACTTGCTGTTTTTTGCGTACCTTAGGCAGCAGTATAGCTGTCGTACTCAGGTCCTTGCCAACCATGTGGGAGACCTATGATTGAGTTCTGGGCTCCTGGCTTCAGGCTGCGCCATCTATGGCTGTTGATGGCATTTGGGGAGTGGAAGACCTTTCACATAAAATGAAAACAAGTAAATCTTTAACCATACAACTACCTAATGATCCGACTCAACTGGATGAGAAAATGATAGTTCATGTCTAAGCAAGACTTATAAATAAATGTTCATAGCTTTATTTTTTTAATTGTCAAACTGGAAACAACTAAATACTCATCAATAAATGTGTAAACAAATATTTTTTAAACTTTTATTTAATAAATACAAATTTCGAAAGTACAACTTTTAGATTAAAGCAGCTTTCCCCCCCATAACCTCCCTCCTACCTGCAACCATCCCATCTCCTGCTCCCTCTCCGATCCCATTCATATCACGATTCATTTTCAATTATCTTTATATACAGAAGATCAACTTAGTAAAGATTTCAACAGTTTGCACCCACACAGATACAAAGTATAAAGTACTGTTTGAGTAGTAGTCTTACCATTAATTCGCATAGTACAACACATTAAGGACAGAGATCCTACATGGGGAGTAGGTGCACTGTCGCTCCCCCTCTTTGTGGAGGAACGACACAGGACCCTGCGCTGTTCTTTCGTCTGCTCGGCCCTTCCCGGGTTTGCTGCTGGTTCTTCCCGGGTTGGCTACTATCCCTTCCACCTCCGTGGAAGGGCAGTTCCCCCTGGCCACATTCCCCACTTCCGCAGGGGAGCGGCACACCGCCGGCCGGCTCTCTGGGGGGCTGCACAGGCGTTCCTTCAGATGTTCCCCTTAGATGTTCCTGGTGCATGCCGTCTCTCTACTCCTTTATAGTCCTCCTCTGCCAATCCCAACTCGGCTGCCCACACGCCGAGTACGCTGCTCTCCTCCAATCAGGAGCAAGTCCTACAGTTTATTGGTTGAACTGGAGGCAGCTGTGCAGAAGCTGTTTACTTCTCTCCCAGCGCCATATTGTGGGAGAGCAGATGCATAGAATAAGTCTTAATTCCAGTAACTCAGTCTAGTCCGGATTGCTCCCCACAGTGCACAGTGACTCCTGTTGTCGATTTAACAATTGACACTCTTGTCTATGACGTCAGTAATCACCTGAAGCTCTTGTCATGAGCTGCCAAGGCTATGGAAACCTCTTGAGTTTGCCAACTCCAGTCTTATTTAGATAAGCCTGTAGCAAAGTGGAAGTTCTCTCCTCCCTTCAGAGAAAGGTAACTCCTTCTTTGATGGCCCGTTCTTTCCACTGGGATCTCACTCACAGAGATCTTTCATTTAGGTCATTTTTTTTTTTTTTTTTTTTGCCACAGTGTCTTGGCTTTCTATGCCTGAGAAACTCTCATGGGCTTTTTAGCTGGATCTGAATGCCTTAAGGGCTAATTCTGAGGCCAGAGTGCTGTTTAGGGCATCTGCCATTCTATGAGTCTTCTGTGTATCCTGCTTCCCATGTTGGATTGTTCTCTCCTTTTTTAATTCTATCAGTTAGTACTAGCAGACACTAGTCTTGTAAACAAATATTGATACCAGCATTGTGGCACTGCAGGTTGGACCACTCCCTGTGTTGCCAGCATCCCATATGGGTGCAGGTTCAAGTCCTGGCTGTTCCACTTCTAATCCAGCTCCCTCCTAATGGCCTGGGAAAGTAGCAAAAGATGGCCCAAGTGCTTGAGCCCCTACACCTACATGGGAAACCAGGATGGAGTTCCTGGATCCTGGCTTAGACTGGCTCAGTTTCATTTGTTGCAGCCATTTTGGAGAGTGAGCCATCAGATAGAAGATTGGTCCATCTTCGTGTAACTGCCTTTCAAGTAAAATAAATTAAAAAAAAATTATGCTTAGTGAAATAAGCCAGTCCCCAAAAGACAAATATCATGTTTTCTGAAATGTAGTAGTTAATATAGAATACAAAAAAATGTATAGGGACAAAACAAAATTTTGATTGTTTTGAATTTTGATTGAAATTTGTTGTTTTTAGCCCTTATTTGTATTCCTGTGAAACTGGTCTATTTTTTTTTCTTGTTGAATATTACAGTTAGTGTCATATTAAATCTGAGATTATGGAGGATACTGAAATTATGTTTTTGTAAAAGTTAATGAAAAGCAGCCAGTGCCACAGCTCAATAGGCTAATCCTCCACCTGCGGCACCGGCACCCCCCGTTCTAGTCCCAGTTGGGGCACCGGATTCTGTCCCAGTTGCTCCTCTTCCTGTCCAGCTCCCTGCTGTGGCCCGGGAGTGCAGTGGAGGATGGCCCAAGTCTTTGGGCCCTGCACCCGCATAGAGACCAGGAGAAGCACCAGGATCCTGGCTTCAGATCAGCGTGGTGTGCCAGCTGCAGTGGCCATTGGGGGGTGAACCAATGGAAGGAAGACCTTTCTCTTTGTCTCTCTCTCACACTGTCCACCCTGCCTGTCAAAAAAATAAAAACGTTAATGAAAAGGAAAGAGGGGGATTGAGGGAAGGAAGAAGGGAGGGAGGGAAGTATGGTTATCTTCTTAGAACTGTACCTATGAAATAGATGCAGTGGTTCTCTTCATAGAATAAAAAATTTTAAAAAGCAACAAATATTGACATATATAGCAACATTAATGGATTGCAAGGTAATTATGCCAAGTGACTGAAGCTGAACAAAAATGGTTACATGTGATATGATTCTATGCATATAAAATTCTAGAAGACACAAACAACTATTGTGACCAAAGGCGATCAGTGATTGCCTGGAGGGATTACCGAAAGGAATGAGGAATGCTTCTTGGAGTGAAAGACTTGTTCACAGTCTTGATTGTGGTGGTGGTATCGTTTCATGGCTGTTTACATTTGTTCAGATTCGTCATGTTGTGCATCCCTATTTAATTCACAGTTTATTGTATGTCACTTGTGGCAAAATAAAGCATAATTTTAAAGCAGGATGCATATAACACGTAGAATAGAAATGTGTACTGGGTATCTTTTGTTTACCTTTCCGACACACTCACACACACTACTATCCTAGTTGCTCTGTTCCCTGAGAGATTGACTTCTGGACAAAATCTAGATTCCCTTACTCTCCGACTTCTGTTTCAATTCAGCCAAAGCAGAGGAAAAGCAGATCAAAAGACTATAGGAGAGTGAGGGTGAGTATCCATTTTCCTAGGCTGCTCACTGCAGGGTCATATCGGGTTGGCTGCATTCCTTAATCAAAGACCCCCATTCTTGTCTGCTCTGTCTCTACATCCCACTAACCACTCGAAGAAATATCACACTCTCCCAGGCCTTATGGTGGGAATGCCTAAGCTATAGCCCAGAAATTCCACTCCTGAGGATGTGCCTAAGAGAAATGAGTGCACATATTCACCATAAAACCTGTATAATATTATTTAAGGCAGCTTTGTTCATAACAGCTCCAAACAGCAAACAACTCAAAGGTCCATAAACAGGAAAATGTGTGATATTTGTTAAACTTACATAATGGAATATTATAGAACAATAAAAAGAATGAATTACTGGTACATGGAATACTGATTAATCTCCTGGATGTTATGTTGAACAATGATAGAAGCTGAAATAGTAATTAACTCTGAGGTAAGGTATTAACTGAATGGATACAAAGAAACTTACTTGAAAAGAAATTTTACTGTGGTAAGAACACTTGACATGAGATCTACCTTCTTTATGAATTCTTAAGAATACAATGCAGTACGCTATCATTGTAACTAAGGTATCTGTAGCTACAGTGTTGTATAGCAGGTCTCTGGAACTTACTGGTCTTTCTTAATTTGAACTCTGCCCATTGATTAGTGCCAAACCATTTTCCTCTTCTCCTAGCCCCTAGCAACCACCATTCCACTCTTTGCTTCTATAAATTTTACTAATTTAGATACCTAATATAAGTGAAATCATGCAGCATTTGTTCATCTGTGACTGGATGATTCCACTTAGCATAATGTGGGAATGCAAAATAATGCAGCTGCTATGGAAAACAGTATGGAGTTTCCTCAAAAAAATAAAAATAGAACTACCATATGATCTCACAATCTCATTTCTGGGTCTATATCCAAAAGAATTAAAATCAGGATCTTCACTCCTGTGTTCATTACAGCACCATTCATAATAGTTAAGCTATGGGAACAGCCTAAATGCCCAACGATGGATGAATGGATAATGAACATTTGTAATATACATACAATGAAATATTACTTGGCTTTTAAAAAGAAGAAATTTATATTATGTGGCCACATGTGTGAACCTTGGGGATATTATACAAAGAAGCCTTCAAAATAATAGAAATATTCTGTCTGCATGGTACAACATGGCTCTCTCCCTATCTACAATGTATTAATATATACACATGTAAAAATTCATCATTGTATACTTGATGTTCTTTAATGTACTTATGCTATATCTTAAATATATATAAATTAATTTGAAAATAAAACAAAAGTTAAACAGTTATTTAAACTTTACTTACATGGAAAAAGTTCAAAGTTCTAGCAAACAAAGACATAATCCCGTTATGCAAAATAATTCCACTTTTTAAAGTCTATATCACTTTAGTATTAAAACTAGATTGGAGAGCATGAGAAGGAAAATGTATGAGATTGTCTCATTGAGTAACATAGATGGAAAGACTCTAAATAAAACTTAAGCATTCTAAATACAGGGGAATAAAAGACATTATGAACAACCTGAGTTTATCCCCCAACGAATCAAGGATGATTTAGCATGTGAAGTTTGATCAATGTATTTCACCTACTAACAGAATAAAGGATCGTAAGTCTGCATAGAAGTCCTCCTGAGTCTTTAAATATATACTGTCCAGACATGTAGATTAAGAACAAGACTCAAGAGGATCAAAGTGTTCTGCAAAAACCCTATCTTTCAAGTAAGCTCATCATTCTTTAAAGAAAAACATCAAAATCCACGTGCTCAACAGTGCAACATATACAACATCCAATAAAAAATAAAACTAAGCAGGAAAACATATCCAAAAAGCCAGAGAACTTGTATTCAATAAATACAACTCAGAAATAACAGAGATTGTGAAATTAGCAAATAAGACTTGAAAACAGCTACCATATGAAT